TTTGGAAAGTTAGAATGTCTCCCAACCACAACAAGTTGTTCTCTGTTGGTTTCTCAGAACCAAACTCGCATGTGTATAGTACTATCTAATGCCTTCAGCCTGGAACTTCTGTCTCACTATGTAGCAGCATACTGTATTTGTAGAGCACAATGTCTTTCTTAGAGATACCTCAATCAAATATACAAATCTTGTTAAGAGGAGGTAACGTGTAGTAGCCTTGCCCACTATCAGTCATGAGTTGAACATTTGAACCTGTCCAAATGTAATGAAACTGCAAATGTGATTGTCAAACGGTGCTTATCAGTGCCTAAAAAAATGGGCATTGACATTGACAGTCCTGCCCTCAGCTTCCCAGTGGCCACTTATCTCCTACGTTGTGACAGTCGTGGCATTTTGATAATTAGTGCATATTTGTCCCAACTTTCAATAATTATGGGTACAGGTTTAGTAACATGAATATCACAATCACATCCACAATTGTATTAAAATGACTAAATGAGCTTTTATGATTGGTACATTGATTGGTTGTTAATTAAGTACAGTAAGTGAAATTATTTTTACTGATCATTTGTGAACATTTATAGAGTAAAATGTTGAATGCTTAAAAGTATGAGAGATGCAAGACTTTTGAATTTAAGCAGAAACATCTCTTAGAAATAATGCATGATTTGATATTTTTTGTTTATCTTTGTAGTCAATAGTAAATTGCTTTTGTTAGTAAAGTATGTATATGTATGTATGTCAAACAAAAAGGATGCTCATATAGGTGTGAAGGGTCTGTAGAGGTTGATGTTATTAAGCATGATACAGATAGTGTATATCAGATAAGTAATGACTCCATGCTAGAATTAAAATATAAAGAAACCATATCCCACCAAGTGACACTTATAGTTACAGTCTTATGGGTACTCATGTTTTGTAATGAGAAGTCAAAAGCAGGTGTTAAGTAGATTGGAAACCAAAAATGCAGAACAATATGAAAGAAAGAAATTTAAAAATAATAAACAGAGTTGAATAATATTCAGTGAGAGTTAACCATATAATGAGAAAAGGATATCTGTGACTGCAAAAGATTTGTGAAAAACACTCAGGATGTCATACTTTTGAAGAATGCCCTGAGGTAAATATTAATGCAGTAATTGAGTGTTTGTAATGATAGGTTGAATGAACTGAAAAAGTGGTTAGAGATAGTTTAAAGTTTTTGAACAAAGAGGAGAGACAAACTTTGCCTGCATGTAGATTGATGCAATAGATTCATATCACTGTCAATGACAGTGCACAAGGCCATATAACATTCTAGTAAGCTAAGGTATGCTTTGTAGCAAGTGACTGATGAAAAAATTGCCTCATGACTTAAGTCACAGTTTTCCATATTGCAAGTATCTGCATTTGACTCAAAGGTAGAAATTAATGTTCCAAGAATCCACCTTTATCTTTCCCTGTGTCTCCTTTAAGCCACAATGTTCTTGACAGTCAAAGACTGCAGTGGCTCATCAGGGCTTATCGGGGCTTATCAGGGCTCATCAGGCAACAGAACAGGCAATAGCTCATTAGGAAGCAGGAGTCCTGGCAATGGTTGTAACTCTGTGAAGGTAGGCTGGACCTGAATGAGAAATGGGGACAGCCTAAGAACAATTACTACTCCCCGTCGGAGACAAATGAGATGTGGTTTGCTGTAGGTCACCAAGGAAGTCAGGCAATGATTCCAAAGTCTGCACTTCTGTCTCCAAGTGCTTAGATGCTGAATGTAGTGCAGTATGACCATTATGCCACACTCCAACTGCTGTGGAAGTGTTACCCAGTAGTGCAGCACAAGGTAAAGCCTGCCCTGACGTTCCTGTACTATTTCTTCATTTTCTAGGAATCTTGACAGTTTGAACACCTTATTCTTTTCACTCATCTGCCAGCAGCAGAATTAGCAGACATTCAAATAGGGCTTATGGTCCTCAGTGGTTTCTATAACTCTCAGAGTATCATTAATACAAAGAACTTTTTGCTTTTGGCCAGCACCTCAGCTGCACACAAACAGTGTTCCCATTGAGCAGAGGCGAGTGGAGGTTGTGCATTGGAACCAACCCTCACTGTATGTCTTCAAAGTGAAAGGCACTGCACTGGGGAGCAAGACCAAAGTAACAGCCTATTCTTTTACAAAGTCCATAAAGAGAGCCTATGGAGAAATGTATTATTTATGGAGCTGGGATTGTACAATTTTTGGTTTGAACTCAGTGTAAGAGTATGAAAATAAAAGAAAACTAAAAACAACGTCAGTTTAAGATTTTCAGAATGAGTGTGGAATGTTCACAGCTGAAGTTTCTCATTTAACATCACAACAGAAAAGTATCTAATTATATTTTACAACTCTGAACTTTTTAGAAGGTTTGGAAATTTGCTCTTATCACTAAATAACTGACTATCTGAATAACTATCACGGAATAATTTTATATTATGACTAGTGTTTTATTTGTAAAAGTATCCAGTTGTCTTATCTCAGATATTAAAAACCATCCAAGATAAATGTTTGATTCTTGGCATAGATTGTTAACCAACATATACATTTTGAAAAAAGACACTTCAAGGGTAATAATGGCAAGAAATCTGTAGTTTCATGGCCTATGAATGATACATTTGTTGAAGATATTTTCATAATTCAGTTAAAGCAAAAGCTGTTGAATTTTCTTTTGTTAAAATCTATCTAATTTAGGTCAGGTTAGGTATATATTGCATGTGTTTATAATTTATTTGGCTTTTGTCTTAAAAGGGGATGTTGCTATGGAACCAGTGATATTTAAATATTTTAAGGAAACAACCAAATGTTTTGACACACTTATTTCTGGAACTGGGAGCAAGCACAAGTGATCAGTACTTTATTTTGGAGGAGAGAAAAGAAAAAGAATAGAAAAGAAATGACAAAAGTTGGGGTTTTCTGCATCAAATGATACTTTCCATCTCTTGTACTCATTGATAAACAGAAACTCATTAAGTAATGTTGGGTATTTTCTTTTTGTAGAAGGTCTTAATTTCCATTCTAAATCCACCAAGATACTTTTGTATTAGAATTCATTTTTGCTTAGGGACCATAGATCATCTCATTTTATCATGAATTTAGAGTTTAAATGTTAGCTGTGAGAATATTTTTTTACCAGTTGGAAAGAGAGAAAATCCAAACATCACAAAATGCCTTTGAAGGCATGGTGATGTTTAGACAACATCACTTCTGGCAATGTCTATGCTTTTTGCATCTGGATAAGTTACAGGTTTTGACACAGACGGATAATAAAGGAGCATTTTGTGAAAAAAATGAAGAGTATAAAGGAAGCTGTGTTACAGGCACTGAAGGAGAAAAAAATGGAAATTTAAAGGAAACAAGAACTGTCAGTACAAAAGAGCAGCTTATAAATGAATCACATGTGGTGGTCTCTATGTAATGTCGAGGAAACGGATGAGCAGCTAAACAGTTTAGATGCAAATATTTAAAGTGTTGCAGCAACAGTTCAACACTAATTTTTGTAGAAATAAAAAACAACAGGATTTTTAATTTTTCTGAGATGAATGAATCTTCATTTGGCCTACCCTTTTTCTCCCTTTAATCTATCTGGTATGGAGATAAAAGGGGAAATAAAGAAACATTGAATGCCTTGGAAAACACTGGGGAAATGGAAAAGATGAATGTTTATGAACAACTGAAAGACAACAGTATAAGTTAAAGGCTTTGGCATGACAAAATTGGCTTCAGCAGGTGAAGAGTGCCACAGGTAAGAAGTCCTGAGCAATGCTAATCACTGTGCAACAGTGCCGCCCTAAGGCAAAACATTTAATATTAAATTGACAGGTGTACTGTATTGTGACATGCAGGTGGCATGGTGGAGCAGAGTTTAGCATTGCTTCCTCACAGCACTGGGGCCTTGGGGTAAGTTCCAGGGTGATTTCTGCATAGAATTTGTAATTTCTCCTCTTGTTCTTGCGAGTTTCCTCTGGGTGCTCCAGTTTTCTCCCACAGTCAAAAGACACATTGGTAGGTTAATCAGTTTCTGGGAAAATTTGTCCAGTGTGAGTGTGTGCATGTTTATATCTGTGTGTGCCCTCTGATGTATGGATGTATCCAGTTGTGGATGTATCCTGACTTGCACCCATTGCTTGCCAGGATAGGCTCCAGCTCCCCTGTAACCCTGTATTGTTCCATACTCCCACAACCCTTTTGGTAAATAAGAGCTTCCTGTTCTCAGCTTTAAATGCAGTTTCATGTATTTTCTACTTTTGACCTCTGGTTTATGTTTCATTCTGAAGAAGTCCCCTGGGTTGACTTTGCCATTGCCTTTGAGAATTATGAATACCCTTATCACGTCCCCTCATAATCTTCTCTGTTCAAGACTAAAAAGTTCTGTTCCTTCAGCCTGTAAATTTAATTTAGGGCATTCCCTTAAGCTGTGGAATGTATTTGGTTGCTTATCTCTGGACAGATTCCAGAGTAGAAATATATTTTTCTATAATGTGGTGACAAAATTCATTATAAATGAATGTCACATCCTTGAGTAATATGACAGACAAATGACTTCTGTTAAAGAGATATCGGCTTATGCATAATAGAGTGACGTATTGCTGGCTATGCACACAAAAAAATACAACTGCAGTAAACACAGAAACATCTTGTTTTGATTGCCTCCTCCCTGCAAACAAACATAGTTAATCTAAAAGTATCTTCATGTGTTAACACTACCAAAAAATATTTGAAAGTATCATTTAAAAACTGATGATAATGCTGTATACAATCTAATGAATGTGCTTTTGAAGGCTCTTCATACAAGCTCTAAACTTTATCTCTAATGATCACAAAAAAATTAAGAAATAATTGAGATGCACTCTTCGATATTACTGATTTTGTAATTTACCACTTTAACCATATTATTTTAATAGACAGATTTAGAGTATTTTCATGTTCATGCTTATGTTTTGAATTTAAAAAAAAAACTTTTCAGGTGATTTTTATATATTTATTTTCACAGGCATGCAGAAAGCTAGAGAAATGGAAAAGCCTGATTGCTAAAATCGGGGAAAGATTAATACATTATCAATTTACATTCTCCGAAACATAAAAACGTTTTAATAAAGCAGTGACATTTGTGTTGTTTGTACTATACTGGAACAAGATAATAAAAAAGAACAATGAACTGTTCTGCTTGGTTGCCCATGCTAATTGCATTTTCTATGATGGGCTGCTGTGTAACAAATGAAACAAGAACAAAGCTCTGCTTAAAAACCCCAAGTCTCAACAAAGAACAATATATTTCTCATCGTCGCCTACGTCGTGGCTGGATATGGAAACAATTCTTTGTTCCTGAAGAAGACCCAGCTCCACGTACTATTGGGCAGGTACTGTAACTGTAACTAAAACATTTACTGTTTTAGAACATTTTAATAAATACCCTGTAAACAGTCAGCTTTTTGAATATGTCAGCAGCTGGCTGTATATAAACATCAGGAAAGTTCTAGTTTTACCTATTATTTTGGTAAATAACAAATATTTGAACTTTACGTGCTAGAAAAACTTAAGATGTTAATGAATGATCATTTTATTTGAAGTCTCAATAGATTTATGAAAAACATAGCCAGAATATGTAAAATCTGCAGGATGATGTGGATCCAGCTACAAATGTAGTGATATGTTTGGAGAATATTAATGAATTTAGGAATCATCATTCAGACATTTTTTTTAATCAATTAGGACATACCTTCTTTGTCTGCTATAAGACAGACTATGAAAACCAAAAATAACAATGTTTTATTCTATATTTTTAGTTTTTAAAAAAAATTTAATGCCAGGCATAAATTACTCATTCCTGTTTACTGTCCAGAGAGGAAGGTGGGGATCTACCTTGGAAATTTTGCATGTACATGTAGATCATTTCAGAATTGCTTCAATGTTTTCTAGGTCATGATATATTTCTTGGAATGAGAAGCCCCCTTTCTCACTTTTACTTGGACACATGAGTTAAAAACAGAACTGTTGGATGTGTAATGGTACAGTACTACTGCAAAAGTAGTGATACCTCATAAGCAAATAGAGGGTACTTGGTAATTTAACATAAAGCCCTATATTCAGAACTCTTGGGGCCTGATTTTGATAAATCGAGTGCAAGAGCAACACATAATGTCATTGGTACAGCACTGGACATAGTGATTTTCCCAAAGAGAATTATTTTGACCAAATGTACAGTAGTACCCAAGGGTTCATCCGTGTTAGTGCTTCGTGCAGTGAAAAAATCTAACATGTTTATCTTTGAAACGCGCTTCGTAAATTGTGGAACAAAACTGTATAATTTTTAACTTTATGTTATATACACATACTATAGCTTAGGAAATATAATTTTGGCATGTATTTTTAGGGTAAAATAAAAGTTATTTAAAGAGCAAAACATCACAAAATAACAGAAAAAGGACTAAAAGAGAAACTGTATATCCTAGCAAATTTTGTAATATGTTACCTTCCTTTTCTTTTATTTTACTGTATTACAGCTAAAATCAGATTATGACAAAGTTAACTTTTCTATAAAGTACATTCTTTCTGGAGAAGGTGCTGGAGATGTCTTTAGAATTGATGAAGATACTGGTGAAATTTACACAATGAAGAAGCTAGACCGAGAGAAGAAATCCTCCTACATATTGCGAGCACAAGCCATTGATAGGTTATCAATGCAGCCTGTAGAACCAGAGTCTGAATTCATTATCAAAGTTCAAGACATCAATGACAATGTGCCAGAGTTCCAAAATGAACCCTATGTTGCTACAATTGCTGAAATGTGTCCAACTGGTAAGTTCTCTTTTTCTCAGATTTCATAGAACATCAAGCTGAATTAAAAAAAAAGTTCTTTAGCCTAGTCTAATACTGTACAAATTGATTTCCTAATTTGTATAACAAAGAAATTTGAAATACATTTGACTACACATTCTTTACTCAGCTAGTATAACAGAATTGATGAAAGAAACTAATTACAATTAAACTATCATATATATACCTATTACGTACTATTAAGAATGTGTTCTTAATTACAATAATTATTTAATTCAACAATATCTACACTCCATTTGTGTTATTAATAAGCAGTATATTCTTAAGCGTGAAATAAAATATTTTCATAAATAATAGTGCTAACATGAACAAAATATAAACAATATATTTTATAATATCTTTAAATTGGTATTTTTATGATGCAAACACATAACAATTAATTTGGTACTTGCTATATTGAACACATACTGTTTATTAAAAGATAAATCACAAAAAAGTGGAATCAAAACACGTCTTACATTTTACTAACAAAACAGTTATTTCTAATTTATAATTATAACCAGAACATTTCCACATAATGTATCCTTTGTATATTATGAATCATTTTTGCTTGTTAATTATGAAGTCATAGGTCCAGGTTTCATTGGTTATAAATTTCCATTAGCTCAGTGATCTGTGAGACATCAAGTAGTGTGAAGAGAGAGGACGGTCTCCGCAGGAATAATAACTGTCATGCACACCTGTACCTCCCAGATCTGTGTGCAGCAGTGTGCTGAAAGCACAGGCCGCAACCAGCCACTGCATAACACGCCCTTTGCATAATTATTCATTTAGTAAATGTTAACACATGATTAAGCTAATGTTGCTTTTGTTTCTCTCCTTTATTTTTCACCCAGGGACCACAGTCATACAAGTGACAGCCACAGATGCTGATGATCCTTCTTATGGGAACAATGCCAGATTAATCTATAGCATCCTGCAGGGACAGCCCTACTTCTCTGTGGAACCAACAACAGGTAGCTAAATAAACAGAAAAAACAGCTTCCAATTGGAATTTCCAGAAACCTTTCTTATCTTATTATTACATTTGATACCTGTTATTTCAATTGTATGCTCTTGTACTGTAGCATTACATAGTGCTACCGTGCATAGTGCTATAGTCCTGAAAATATAAATGATGGCAGACAGAATTATTGCACGTTCCTCATTTAATGTGTTAGATAGATCAACAATATGAGTTGAGTGGACTAGGGTTGATTAAGGCGCCCTAAAAAAGATCATAAGGAGTAAATTAAATTTGGTCACCAAAGATACAGTAGCATATTCGTAGATTCCCATCATCACCAACGTGTAAAGTTAAGAAATATACACTGTTAAGTTTGAGCCCAATATTGAGCTTCACTAATAATATCACTAATTAATCTGGTGAGTGTTTTTTTTTTTTAAGGGGAAATTTACATGACCTTCAACACTTCTTTGGTGAGGTTTTAACAGGATCTGTCCATGTTCAATTTTAAAGTGTGATTTCCAAGTTGGGTTGTAATGCCTGAGATTATGTGGTGATTCATTTTAGAACATGTGGCTCATTTTCACATACGCAGGAGAGGGAATGGAAAAATAAAGACATCAAGGAACATACAATATTTTAATTTTAGCGTATGATTGTGACCTAAGAATGATAGAACGTCAGAGAAAAAAAGCATCACCATAATAAGGCAAGTTAACAAAATGACTTATAGGTGTATAACCTATATAATCTAATAGTATGCATACTGTAATTTTTAGAGTAATACCAGTAATATAAGACAACCTTTTGCTTAAAACCCATAAGTGGTATCTACATGTTTAAAAAAATGTATTCTTGTTATTTATGATTATGTGTATAAAATGTCAGTGCAACATGTTAAAGTAATCATTTTAAATTAAAATTTAAAATCATTTTTAATTGATTATAATATGCTTTTCTTTTTTTTCCACATAATGTATTCAGAAAACATTTTATAGCAGAAAACAAATATATGGTTAATATATTTTCCTATATTTTAACAGTTTTGTTAAGAATGACCTGCAATTCTGCTGTGTTATTTTATGTGGGACATGGTCCTTGAAAACTATAATCATCTATAATTAAACATTATTATTTCTTAAAATACCACAATCTTTATTTTACAATATGACGCTACTTTTGATTCAGTTCTGTAACTCTTAATTAAGTGAATAGGACATTAGAAACTGAAAATAATAACACAATGTGATAAAGATTTACCAGGTACTGTTACAGAATATCCAAAATGTTAACATTTAGTCAATCTAATAAATCACCTCTGACCTTGTGGACCTCAAGAAGTAGGGTTAAACATTTTTTTCCTCAGGAAAGGTTTTTTTCTAAGGAAGGTTAGTTCATTATGTTTTTGTAATATAAAAGAAAACTCTTGGATGATAATTCTGGAACTGTTTAATGCCAGGTTAAAGAGACTTACCATTTTTACAGTCCTTCATACTGCTTTCAGAATATCATATAAAACTATACCCCACAGCCAATGGGTTCATAAAATGTCAAATTTTCAATTACCAGACATGTTTCTTTGCTCATGAAATACAATTATCTGCCAATTCCCTTTTAAACGTACTGTTTCATTTTATTTAAAAAAAAACATTAGGTTTCAAATAGTGAAAAAGAACACCTGGAAACAGTTACAGAGAGACAGGGAAGTTATGATTTATAGAAAGTCTCCATTTCAGGATGACACTTTTGTCTTCATAGTTTATATACACTAAAATGTTTCTGAAATAAATATTCTTAACACAAAAATTTGACATAGATACTGATTTAAACAAAGCATAACCATGCTGGACTTCAATTTTTGGAAACTGCTGTACTTCAAAGATCTTTTTTTTTCCAAATAATGATGTACATTATATTTTTCTGATCCTGAAGGAATGGAAAAGAATAGAAAAAAAATTAAGAAAAAATATGCAACAGTTTGGTGATTCTCTTAGAAATTGTTAGAAATGTGAGGATATGAAAATGGTGAAAATCAGGATTTGACTGAGCGGCTTTATCAATAATTGAAATAGTTATTCATTATCCACAAATTGTGAATGATTTCTTTAGGATATATCCGAGTGGCTGGTATAATTAGAGGCACATTAATTCTTTGTTCTTTGGCATAGCTATGGTAGGGGACCAATAATACAGGCACACTTGGTTAAACAATTATTTATTACAATGACAAGACACAGACTACACTACAAACAACACATATGACACAGAAGTGACTCTATGTATAGTATTAACAAACAAGGTGATTCAGAGGCCTAATATTCTGGTCACCCAGAAAATCTCAAAGTGCTACTAAGCATTGAACTCTTAATGTCTACAGAAGCCACATAAGAGATAATGTCATGCCCAGTACACCTAGAGGGTGCTCTACTTTCCTCCTGTTCCTAGTTCCCTGTGATTATTCTTGTCTTTCTGGTGTGTCTTGTTGTGTAGCCTGTTTATTTCCTGCTTCTGCTCTGCTACTCGCTCAGCATTGACATTTGGATGTCCTGAGACCCGCCTAGCACCAGGTCACCCCACGTCTGCTGCCTGAGGGCATAGGTTTCTATACGGCATTTCCTGAACAGCTGAGTCCGGGCTAACCCCCGTCTCACCCCTACCCATAGGGTCTTTTCGCTCTCCTGCCATTCCACGGTTTGTCCTTTCCGACATCAGTGACAGATAAGCTGCCTTCTAACTAAATACAATGCAACCTTCAGTTAAATCTCTCTCTCTGCACCCCAGATGCCACAAAATAAATGGGAGCCTATATCACTATCCATAACAATGCACCCTAAGCAGGAAAGATGTTTCTAACTGAGGTATCTTTTACCCAGGAAGCCCATGTTTCCTTAAAAACACAGAGTAACATGCTCTCTAGCAAGGTTCAAATACTTATCTCCAGCCAGGTATGGTTTGGATGATCATGAAGTAGGGGCTCTCGCCTGGCGCAAGCTTCACATCTCAACTCCTCTGGACTCCTCTCTCTTCTCCTTGTTCCCTGCTTCTTTTTTCTTCATTCTTCTCCCCTGTGCAATATCTTGTATTTTTCCTTGACAGTCATTAACCCACAACTTACCATACCTAGGTATACTTAGGTAAAGTTAAAGTAAAGTTAGAAGTGTTTACTCTTTCAGGTGTCACAAACATTATCTAAAATCTAAAAGACACTTTTCATCTCAGAGTTTTCTGTTCTCGGGCACAGCTTTGGTGAAAAGAATAATAAATCAGGCACACTGGGTTAAACAAAAAATATTAATAATTGCACAAGACAAACTAAACAACAATCAACATAAACATACAAGTTACACTATTTACAAACTAGGTGTCTTGAAAGGCCTAAGTATTGCCCAACCAGGAGACCCCAGACTGCTACCAAGTATTTGAATCCTATGCCTAACAGTCCCAAAAATATAGATAAACCCACCTTCTGCACCAAACAGAATACAACCTAGAGTCAAACCTCTCTCTTGATAAACTCAGATGCTACAAAAGGAATTGGAAGTGTAATTTCCTATTCCAAAAATGTATCCATTAACCAGGAGAGAGCATTTTTAACTTAGGGATTTCTATGCAAGAAATCTGAGTTAAATCTGAGTTACCTGAAATCAACCGAACAGCAAATTGTCTTAACAAGGTTCAAATACTTAATTTTAATCTGGTCTTAAAGGCCGTTTAGAAAAAGGACCTCCCTCTCCAATGTCTCTTCTCCTCTCTCATGAACTCTCTCTGTCTATCTTGCTCTCCTCCATCTCTTTCTCTCCTTTATCCTTCTTAATTATCATACCTGCCTGATTCTATTCTGTTTTTCAACTGTTGATGAGTCTTTTTACCCAGAACCTTAATTAATCAAGGTAAACCAGACTATTCCTTTGATCAGTGTCTGTCAGACCATCTTCCATTCAGTAAACGCCTCTGTTTTTTTATTGCTTTGAACCTCCTGAAAACTACAAATGTTGACATGAGCTAGATGTTTGACTTTTGTCCCTATATTCTTGAAACACCTCAATAGTCACTTCCAAATACCATAACATAAATATAAGTATATAAAATAACCATTATTTACAGATTTATTTTCTCCAAAATAAAAAAATATTGGACGATTTTCACTAGATGGCACAGGGCAGGAGTTTTGCAGTAGGTAGTATTGAGGAGAACTAACAGTCAGCTTGTGTGAGGACATCTCAAAGTGCTCAAAATAGATGTAACAAAATACAAAAGAAAACATTGGAAATTATACCATATCATAAATACAGACTTCAGTAATACTTTAAATATTTTTATGTGTTGACAAATAATTATTGTGTTTAAAAAATATAATATTTAATCTACTTATAAGTATACTACTTATACTTTAAGATACTTCCCTTTAAAATTGGAACCGGTTATCACATGAAATGGAAAGAACTTAATTAAGTTTGTAATTTAATAGAAATGTCTTTATGTTTCATAATTATGGAGAGCTGTAAGCAAAGACAAATTTTGATATTAAAAATAATATGCTATCACCAAGAAATAACACAAGCACATTTCATAAAGGCACGCAGTTTTCATCATTCGGTTTGAATGTTTATACTGATATATAATATGTAGCCCTGTCATATTTAAAAGCGGCCTTAATGTAACTTTTGTTGATTGTGAATTGATGGATGAATTTACCACCTCAATTAGAAATTGTTATGGTAAATTGTGAAAGCCCTTTAGGGCTATTAGGAATCAATTGGACAAAATAAAAAAAAGCAATATTTGAACATAGATTCAAACCTAATGTGTACAATTTAGAATAAAATTGAAAAAAAAATTACATTATAATAAATCACCAAGGGTAATAATATAAATGTAAATTGATCTGTTGTGATACAAATGGCTGGGAATACAAAGAAATGAATAAAATCTGAATTACATACATTGTCTGCTTCTCATAAAATTACTTCATTTCACCATACTGTCATAGTCTGTCATAGTCTCAGAGACAAGTAAAAGGAGTATACTTTTATCTCCAGATGGTCTGTCTTAGATTAATGAACTAAGAGATCTTGATGTTGGATATTTATCTCTATAGATACCAAAATGGACCTCCTTTTCAATGTCGTTGTCTGTGCCACAGACTCGGGATATGCTGCTTATCAGTGACCATTTCCATCTTCATTCCTAATGTTTTATACATAGACATGAGTTGCGAAGCTTATTGTCTGGTCACAGTAACGGAAAGATTATTAGAAGTCAATAACGACATAATTGTAGTATTATGCACTTAATGCTTAACAATATTATATTATATTATATTATATTATATTATATTATATTATATTATATTATATTATATTATGGATACCACAAAACAGAAAGGGGAAAAAACACTACAATACCTGCTAGTAGGTGCACTGTGGTGTAACATTTTAATATGTTGGGGTTCGTATTTTCACCAGATTACCCAGTGGATTGTGGACATTCTTGCAGAAAGTTAAAAACATAATTATGCTAAGTAAGTGAGCTGTTCTATTAAAGGTTTTAGCAATATGCTTAGGCTCTTTGTGGATCTTAAGAGCAGATCCTCCTTTGAAGAAGGGCTATCTACAAGCAAGTGGTTAATTTTGGATTTGCCAATGATTTCATTGAGACCATTAAGAGATACAACTAAGATAAATTAGTTCTAAGCTCCAGGTCTCTATCTACTTAACCAATACTAAATGTATTCTTCACATTAAACTGCTTGTGATGCAAGATGAAGAAGCCATTGATACTCCACTGTGTATTTTGTAAAAGGAGGTTTTTATGGTAAAGAAGTGCCTGACCGAAGAGAAGCATCACTGCTACACACTAAGCTGTGTATCCGATGTCAAGGTATATGTGATAACACCAGACAACCTTCTATCTATATTCCGATTGTCACAAGGAGACAACATTTCCAAGTAAAATATTTGGTCATAATAATATATCTTGGAGCCAAAAAAAAAAACTAGCCATTAAATAAAGTAGACCTCAGGTATAAGGGGATGATCAGAGCCAAGAATGTCAAGTAGATTTCTATTACAACTACAGTGTATTTATGTAATATATTGCTATATACCTGGTTTAGAAGTTCTAACATAGAAGTTCTAAAAGCAGAATTATCCATACTCTGTAAAGTGCTGTTTTTCTTCTGGGTATGCTAAGTAAACATATTTGTTGTTGTTGTTGTTTTTTTTGTTGAGAGCTGTACTAGTGCTCTAGTAATAGTAAGAATGTACAAAAACATGGGTAAATACTGAATAAGTACTTTACATTTTGAGCATTTGCACACAATAAAAAAGCTAATTTAAAAGATTAATTGAACCCAAAAAGTGTTTAAATTAAATTGGGAAATATTTTTTTTTAAAAATAGTTATTCTAGTACCTAAACTAAAGTAACAAAGGTTTTAGTTAAATTAAGTTTTTGGTGAACAAAAGAAAGCAGGGGTTGCTCCATTTTTAACTAGTGGTGAGTTAAAGGGTGAGCACATGACAAATATAAAAGAGCTCTACCACCAACTTCAATTTTAGACAAAGGATTCACAGTACGGTGTTTTGTGTAAGCTGTCTTTTAGTTTGCATGAAAAATGTTAAAAGCCATGATAAATAAACTCACACCATCAGTGCTTTTCCGTGTAATTCACCCTTGTTAAAGAATAAGCATCATTGAAAATGTTAATTCTTTAATAATGCACTGCACATTATTCACATTCATTATTGCGTTATTGCCACTTGCATGTGTTTCATAGGTACAATTGTTACTTCTTGGCCTGATATGGACAGAGAAGCCAAAGAGCAGCATTTGGTGATTGTACAAGTGAAAGACATGATGGGCCTGAGAGGAGGATTTTCTGCAACAACCACAGTAACCATTAATTTGTCTGATGTAAATGACAATGGGCCTAAATTTCAGCACAGTAAGTATAAGTAAAACTATAGTTTTACTCCCCTATTTTTATTCTAATATTTCCATCTTTATACTCACATCCAGCATGATCACATCCTGTCCTATATGAGGACAATTTTGGACGTGTTATTTTGGCTTTATAGTATTATAATAGATTATTAATTCCGTCTTAAAAATATTTCCTTTCTGGAACAAAGTACTGCTTAGTCCATTGTGTATTGCTATCCAAGTTCTTTATAAAGCGAAGGAAATATTTAACCCTAAAATAAAGTAAACATTATTTTTCATGATCTTTAGAACAAATAGAAGAAAACAGAATCAATCCTGGTGAAATTAAAGCACTTTGTATCCTGTATACAGATGTCATCCCTTACATGTAACATGGGAGAACTGACCATTAAGAGTTGAGATTTAAGTCTATCTGTTTTTTTCTATAGATTTTTTTTTGTCCTGATTGTAACATTCTATGTGTAATTATACATAGCTGCAAGGCCTTAATTAACTTTATTTGTAAACTGATATTGTTGTCTTTAACATTATTTTTCTTTCTACAGATAAACACCTTCACGTGCAAATCACACTCATCTAATCACCTTAAATGGTGCAAAAAGGGTGTTCTGGACTACATTTGAATTTACTCCAAAAAAGATCACAGTACATAAAGCCTCTGTATACCTATGTATACTGCTCCAAGCTTTCTATTACACAGAAAACTCACATTAATCAGACTATATACCTAAACATTTAAATATTTAATTTTTTGTCTACATAACTTTTAGGAATATTGTCTAATACAGACAAACACAAATACTTTACCGTAACCAAAATAATGACCAGCTGCTATAAACATAGAAGTCTTGCTGAAGTCTGGTATTGCATTAAGTTTAGCTTTTTATATTTTTCTTTCACTTAGTTTTTTAAGAACTACTTGGTATTTAACATCATAAACAGAATCTACTAATTTAATAGGAAAATGTGTGTGTCCAATAATATCAAGAAAATAATTAAATGAATATATATATAAATCATACAAATATGCTATTTCTACATTGAATATCTCACCTCTAACCAATATAGAGTTCTACTCCTTTCCCATACCTGAGTCAGCACCAGTGGGAACCATAATTGGTAGAATCATGGCTGAAGACAGGGATGTGGGCCTAAATGGCATGATGAACTACACAATCGAGGAGACAGATAGCACAGGTGTGTTTGAGATTCTGACTGACCCCAACACTCAAGAGGGAGTGATTATACTTCAAAAGGTGAGTCACATCAAAACACCTGTATGCACAGATGCTAAAATCAATAAAGTCTAAGGGCCATAGTAGAAGAATTCACCATATTTATATTTAGTGTGAGGGGCCAGTAGATTTTAAAAGTGGTTCTTCTTAATTTATAAAAAGTCATTTTTTTAAAGTAATGTCTTAAAATTTCATTATTTTATACAGTCAGAAAATGCCTTAGTAATTCTGAAAGATATTTAACATGTTAGAATTATTACTCCCACTCAAAAGAGATATTAGTATTTCAGGTGTTTTGTGTAATTCAATGCAATTGTGAAACACCAGTGGGTAATCTCAGTGGTTTCATTGCAAATGAAAACCTCTCAAAAAACAATGTTTTACAGACATGTCAGATCCATTGAAATAATGTTTCAATAATTATTTGTACACTAAAAACCTAATGGTGGTTGTCTTCTTAGTTAGGAGATTATTTTTAAGAACTGCATTTGTCAGTACAGTACAAGAGCTTTAAATGAAAACAATCAGGAGAGTCAATATCAGATATTCAAATAACTGACGTCAGGAATTCTTCCACATCTTTTTACAAATCAACATAATAAAAATCCTGAAAATGTAATATTTGTGAAGAATGACTTATTTGTTTAGTATGTGTTCTAAATACAGAATATTATATTATTATACGTTGTTGGGCCTACTCCTTGTTCTTCAAGGTACCACTACCCTCTTAGCAACCCTTTGAAACTAAGATTCACTGACCTACAGCAATCACTGGGCACAGGGGCAGTGCTGTACACTCCTGGAAATGCTTGCCCTCGCATTTATTAGACAGAGACAAGAATGCAAGTGCAGGCTCGAGAGAATGGAGAAGAAAATGGAGTAAATTCAAATGTAGAGCAAGACTTATCGTTAGAGTCATCTTTGAAAATTTCTTCCTGGCTGTCCATTGGATGAGTTTATTAATGATGAAATGAATGTTAATTACTCACCTACTGTATATGTCAAAAAAGAAAGTGTTTTAGCATTTTTCAAACAATGGGAAATTTAAATCCTGAGTCATTATTTTAAAATTATGAAGTTAAAGACATCATTTAACTTGATTTTTAAGACATAATGTTGTGTTTTTGGTAGGGTGCAATGCTTTACATGGACCATTGTTTTCAGTTTTAGGTGCATGTGGGCATACAGTACATGCCACTGTACAGCCCTCTAGAATATATAAGGTGCAGTTGGTATACCAGGTTGGCATCCAGGTTTTCCAGACAGCAACACATCCTGAAATTTGCCTGCACAAATCTGATGCAGGCCTACACTTCTCTGTAAACCTTTCAGATGTAGAAGTGAATCCTTAAAGTATTGTAGCTGCATGTGGTTGTCATACAATTAATACTATGTTAAAATCTAACTAATCTTGTAACTATGTTACAAATCAGATATTGTGTTAAATCGAATGAAATTCTGGTGAATCGGATTCAATTATTCAGACCAATTAAACAATTTAATAGAAATGGTGATTTCATTCATTTATAAATGCAACATTTTTTAATTATATTAATATTAATTTAATATTTAACATACTGTAATATGTGGACTGCACAGACATCTTCATTAAAGCTCTTACAGAGCCAAATAAATCAGTTCACAACATCAATGTTTAAAAAAAAAAAATTAGCCTAAAAATATGAATATTGATTACACAAAGACAATAACAACTATCAATGATTTCCATCAAAAAAACGTAAACTTATTTTTAAACTGACTATTGTTTTTAATGTGAACTTTGCAAGTGGTCATGCGAAATGTAGTTAGATGAGCACATCGAAACTTAACAGAAATAACAATAATTGACCGAGTTAAAAATTTGAAATAAAATATATTATAAATTATTATTATTAAAAATGTTCAAAAACCTTTTCCATTTAATTACATGATTCCTCATTAATATTCTATATTAAGCGAATCTAAAAAAGTAGTACAAAAGATTAAATGAAGTCTAGATTTCCCTAACATTTAATACACCACAAATACAATCTATTTTTGGTAGCAAAATGCTAAATTTAGCATTCTGAAGCACACTGCACTATACTTCCCCACAGCTTACCGCCAATGCAAGTTTTGATGCACTTTATAGATGGCTGCACCTGTATGCAATCATCCTTGTACTATTGCCTTCACTTTTGTTAAAATGGCTTAACAATATGTTTGTGTATTTATCAGAGTAAAGATTAATGTTTAAGTTTCACTTGTTATAAGTGCAGTCATTACTGTTTATTACTGTTTATGGAAAAAGGAATCATTTTTTAAGAGGCTGATGTTTAAACATGTAGAAGAAGGAATATATAATTCTACAGTATTTCAGTATATGAAGTAAATAGTATGAACTAGAACTAGGACTGATATTCCTTGTCTTGGAATCTATTAAATGTGATTAAATGTGAATTGTACACATACCTGCATAAAGAACTAATCAACCATTCAATATTAATATTGTGAAATAATTTAAGCTAAGTTGAAACTCCAGATGCACTTACAGTATGTTAAGGTGGCGCAACAGTATTTCATTTAATTCCTCGTTCAATTTAATTTGGACACAGCATTAAATCAGATGCAGCTAAAATGTATGCATCTTGCCTCAGGAATCTGTAAATCTGGTAATTCTCTGATATTGTCTAACTCTTTTGAAAGCCAGTGAATATTACTAATGCTCACCATCTGAAGCAGTAAGATCACTATTTCCATTAAGAGGTAAATATGCTGAGTAAAGTCAAATTGACTACCAAATTAAGCTCTAAGGCTAGAGCTCAAAATAAGTCAAGTAATATATCACTAGAGCTTACTGTACATCTATACTTTACATATCAATAGACAAACCAAATGAGTCACTATGTGATTTGGCAAGCCTGTCTCAACACAAACAAATTCCCACCTTTCGCTCAATTCTGTCGACAAATGTTTCTACAGTACGCTTTACCAGATAACATTCCTTTCAAATAATTTAATGACAAAATATTAGCTGTCTTAATTGCAGTATAAATTGAAAAACAAACAGCAAGTGGAAACATCTGAAATAAATCAGAGTGTTATTTTATGAAAGAACAGCCAAAACATTATGTTTTTTTTTCTTCTCTTTTCAGCTAGGAATAAACCTACTACTACTTGTTACTTTGTTGTTGTTACTGCTGTTCTTTGTTTAGCTTTTGGTCTTTGTATCATTCGTTTGTGTATATCACAAATAAACTGAACTGAACTTTTAAGAAATTAAGTGCTTTAGTTCAACTACTATAAAAACTGTAGTTTTCAATTAATTTACTCTGTCCAGTAAATTATACCCCTGAATTATATTCATGGGGAGAAACATAGCATAAATTACATCTAAGAAAACTTTAGAATGTTATTTGTCTAACTCAGATTAGGCAGACTGTGCTGAATTGGAAATCAGGAGATATAATGTACTATTCTAAATATTATGTAAACTATGACTAAACATTAAATTGGAACAATAAAAAAACACTGTCCCCTGTAAAATGAGGAGTCTCCTGTAATTTGATTACACATTTAAACAATTTATCAATTATGCAATAGAATCCAAACTAGAGTCAGTATGTAGAATATGTACAAATTGGCAACAGTATTCTAGAGTAGTGGCTAAGCATCTAGACTCAGTACTGAAAGGTTGGGTGTTAAAATCTCAGATAGCCAAAAATATGAAATGCTAAGATGTATAAGTAGTTACAAATAGACTTTTGTGCATTTGTATAGTCACAGTCTAATCACTGATTGAGAGAAACTACCTGTTGGTCCCTAAGATCATGATACCTGACAGCTGGAATCCTCCCTATTTAAATGTGTGCTGTCTCAGAGAGTGAAAGAGAATCAGAGTGGAATGGGCCACTGGAGAATTGTTGGCTTTTTTCCTTTCAACAAAAAAAAATAAAATTGAGCAGAAAGTTAGCAAGTTATCCAACAAAAAAGGCCATTTAATCACTTTTTTCAGATATGAATAGGCAGAGTTGTGTGAATGATGCCCTAATATAGAGACAGAATCACCAACCAAGAGATGAATGGCTGGATCAAGAAACAGTATATAAGAGCAGGTTCAGTAATCTATCTACCACAGTATAACCCAGATATAGTAGGGCACAGTATAGAGGCCCGCTGTGAGGGGGTGTCATCTTTCACAGGCTACACTGTGATTTCTTACAGGTCAGACTTCTTGAAGCACAGAAAGTATTTAGGATCTGAATAGACTGAATTTAAATTTAGAATGAGGTGCTTTATTTTGCATTCTTTATGTTTGTGGAAATATGTATTCCCATTTTTGTGGTATTCACTGGAGAAAGAGAACTTATTTCTGGTTACAGAGTATTTTACTTTGTAAGAATGGTTTTACTTTCCATTTACTGAACTGTGTCACATTAGGAACATGTTAGGATCTGTCTGCTCTCACTGAAACACCTGGGTGACTAAGGCTTGGTTCTGTAAACCAGCATACACAGGGCAGGTACTGTCATGTATTTACTGATAATAGTCAATGTATGTTTAGTAGTTTTGTAAATAGTAAGCAGAAACATCTACGCTATTGCCAGTTCATTTACTCTGAAACCATGCAGTCCCAGTATTAAAGAATACATAAACTATACTTGGCATTTCCTGACTATCAAGGAAAGATGTTTCTATATTGTATATACTTGCTGCAACACAAGCAGGCATCAGGAATAACCTCTTTGCCTAATTTTATTTAATTTATTCACAACCATCCCCCTGTGTATTACTGTATACATAGTGGGTTTCCTCTTCATTTTTTCTTCCACTGTGCAAAGATGTACTCGTAGGTTAATTGGCTTCTAAGAAAGTTGGCCATGGTGTGAGTGTGTGAATTTGTGTCTGGTTTGTGCCCTGCGATGGACTGGCATCTTGTTCAGGCTGTATCCTTGCCCCCTTTGCTTACTGGGTTAGACCCAGGCTCCCCCTGACCCTATACTGCATAAAGTGGTTTAGAAAATGGATGAACGGCTGGATATTAAATTTACTGACTGACACTTTTATCCAAGCTGACTTACTTTGATGAGAAATTCTTTAATTGTAGATGGCGTTTAAACAGGACAAAGTTATTGATCACACATGTAAAAAATAAAGGGAAGAAAATGAATATTTTCATAGATGTGAATGAATCCCCACTATCTCAACTAAGTAAATAAAAAAGTATTATTTATATTGTGTTAAAGTGAAATAGAAATGAAGAAAATAACACTGCTACTGTACAAGGGTGCAAAGGACACAGCTTAAAATGTTTCAATCACTAATGATCACAGATTTATTTCTCATCATTTGCCCTGAGATAAAAAAGTAAGCATACATTTAAAATTCTGCACTGTTATTGTTATCATATGAAATGTTGAGTTTTTAGTACAATCTATTACTATAATTGAATAAATACTAAAATAATAAGCTTTATGTCAAAAATAAAGACTTAAATTCGTCTAGACACTTTTTTTTCTAAAAATTAGATTAAAAAAACATTTGGAAAACAAGTTATTGTATTTGTGAGAGTGTGAAAATGTAAAATAATTACATTTTGGAACAAATATGTATATATATATATTGATGATGCTCAATCAAGACTTATTTAACAATTGTTTTAACAAGAAAGCAATCAATAATAATAACAATAACTTTGTTTACTTCGATGTTGGAGGTTAGTATGGTAGCACAAACAGTTGTGTAACTATAAAGATCTAAAAGCAGTTTCATTTCCTCTCCCAGGATTTTTCATCTGAATTCCTGGTGTACCCATGAATACTTTTAATGTATGAGTACACCATGAACATCAAAAAACTAATTTTGCTTGTGATTTTCTGCTATTAATTTGAAAAGTGTAAACTTAGAAATTTCGAGAAATCCAATAGAGATATTAAATATGATTTATTAAATATGATATTAAATATGGTTTATTTTCTGAAAAATACACTTTTAGAAATCATGGGGTTCAAATGCTTTTTAGAAAAACAAACATACTGTATCTCACACCACATTAATAAGTTCTAAGTACAACAGAGTGGACTATTCCAGAAAAAAAACATGGAATCTATTAAATGAAATGTGGTGATTAAAGAACTAAAAAATAATTTCCAGTCCTTTTATTTTGTGCTCAAGAAGTCAAAATGTTGTACTGCCTCAAGGCTGTAATTCTTAACATCTCACAAAATAAAAATAAAATAAAATAAAATGTACTAAAAATGTTCTACAATTCATTTGTGGAGCATATTTTAGTGAACAGATAAGGAACTGCAGTCCTTGAGGTACAAATTAAAACCATAAAAAATGCTTTCCAACTGAAGTAATTAGTTCACTTATAACATCTAGAGCACCCAGGCCATATCCTGACACTGGAGGTGCCCATTTCTGCAACTATGGAATTAATTATTTATATGCTTTCTACTGTAAGTGTCCTTGTCTTTAATAAATAAACAAAATAGTCATAAAAGTATATATATATATGTTGTTGTTGTTTTTTTTTGTTTTAGGCCTTAGATTATGAAAATAGAAGACGGTTCACCATATCTGTGGAGGCAATCAATGCCTACATCGATATTCGGTTTCTCACCTTCAACCAATTCAGAGACAAAACCACTGTGAAGGTAACTGTTGAAAATGTGGATGAGCCTCCTCTATTTTTTCCTCATGAGTATTATTGGGAAATCCTGGAAAATACAGCTGTTGGAACAGCCATTGGCAGAGTGAATGCATACGACAGAGATGCAGCCAATAATCCTGTTAGGTAGGCTAACTTTAACTTGACTTTCAATAAACACAAAACCTTACCCTGGTGACATGTTTAGAAGTGTGTTCTCTATAAATAACATCATATCAGCACTCAGTATAAAATAATTCAGGTTATATTATGAAACAGTAACCACAGGGGAATGAAAATGATTTATTTTAAATTGTGTCAGCAGCTTTATGCATTCTGTTACCTTTCAACTTTCCCAGTGCCCAGTACTTCGTTACATTTATCTTATATTACTTCACCGTGAAATGAAACCTACTGAATAAAACATACATGATTTGTATTTATTGCTTTTTCCATCTAGTGTATGAGTCTTATCACAAAACACTGTTCATGGGGTAAAAAGTGCATAAATAAAATTAAATAACGAATGAAGATGGAAATAATGTGTGGGTCTGCCTGTATCCACCTTTGCATATTATTTTATTTTCTAGCAGGTGTATGTAGTACACAGTGCAAAGGGAAACATTTAACTAGGTGGTGACAAGAGCCATCTATTTTTTCTTCTCAATGCATATGAAGTATGAATCACGCTTGGTAATATTTTAATTTGCATTCCCTTACAAAATTGAAATGTCTCATAAAACTAAACCCCAACGTGTCTTAATAACAGCTTTTATAGTTGAACCGCAAGAACAGAAACAAATTGGCAATCTAGATGAGGCTATAAGGCCCATTTTGCTCTTTTGGTAGTTTAAATCTAAATAAATGTTAACTTTTATCCAGCTGTTTCTTAAAGGAGTGTGGGCTTCAACCACCTCGCTGGGAGCCTATTCGAGACACAAGTATTTGGGAAAAAATAATTTCCTATTTTAATGTCTGAATTATTTTTTCTCATTTGTGTCCCCATATTGTCAAGGCCCTTTTATTGCTACTTCAGTCTACTGAGTTGACCTACTGTAAACAGTATATACAATACACCACGTAGGATTTTATATTCCGTATTTAATCCAAATTGTTTCTCAGTCTACTTTGTTAATCATTAATATAAATCAGGAAGAGCAACAGGTCTTATCTGAACCCCTGTGGTCCGCCACTGCTTACATTTGTTTATTAAGAGGTTGTACTCTTTCAAATGAAAATGTTTTTGTTCCTTGTGCCTAAATTTTTTTGGAGTCCTATTGCTTTCAATTTCCTCATATGGGAGGAACACATGCCTGATGTTCCCCATTTTCCTTTCTGTTCCTTACATTTTGAGTATGATTGAGCTATAATAATTTAAGTCTGAATATGATTTATTTTTAAGTTTTTCTTTCTTAGTATTGACCTGTGCTCTTCCTATCCCTCTAGAACAGTCTTTTTCTGAGCTTTTGTATCCCCCCATGTGCTTGTATAGTGCTTTCTTTTGCTTCCTGAGTGGATCACAATGTTCATTATATTTGTCATGTATCTTGACCTTTTTTAAGTCCATAAAGAAGAGTAACAATAATGAATAATAATAATAATAATAATAATAATAATAATAATATTAAATAATTGCATACACTTACAGATGCAGCCATTCAAAATGCACGGGCGATACCGCATTATTTTCCGGTGCGCTGTACGCAGTCTACCACGAGTTACCGGTAAATACCGCTAGTTACTGTAAATTCTCCTATAATACCGCAGGCAAAATAATAGTATC